CCCCAGCACCACATGCCAGCCAGCCCCGCCCCCTGGTGGGCTGAGCTGGCCACACACACACACATACACAAAATAAAAAATTAAAAAAAAATAAATAAAAAGACTTACGAAATAGATTACCTTCTGCTAGGTCAAAAAAAAAAAAAAAAAAATGCAGCAGCCCATAATATGACATCTGGACTTCTCTGGGGCCAAGTTCAAGATCTGAGCAGGTGTATAATGTTCTAGAAAAACTACCCAGTACTCTTAATATTACTACTCTTGACAGGCATGGTGGCACACTCGTTTAATCCCAACACTTGGGAGGCTTCGGCAGTAGGATTACAGCCAGTTCCAAGGCAGGCTGGACTACATAGTGAGTTCAAAGCCAGTCTGAACTACACAGAGAGATCCAGTTTAAAAAAAATAAAATAAAATAAAAATAAAAAATTACTAAAATTAAATGTACTAAAGAATACACAATTTTGAAAATATGAAAAGTCACTGAATTAAACAATTTAATTGACTGAACTGTACAATATGCCAACTCTATCTCAATAAAGCTGCTTAAAGTTAAAAAAGAAAAAAGACAGAAAGAAATGTCCTTTAATTTTGTTTCAGTACTATCCTTTGGATATATATATAAAGTAACTGTATAACTAGGTGGGGTAGTACACACCTATAATCCCAGCACTCAAGGAGGATGAGGCAGTGGATTGGAAGTATGAGCCTAGCCTGGGCAATTTAGCAACTTCAATGGGGATCCTGTCTCAAAATTAAATTAAAAAATGTCCAAGGAAACATAGCTCAGTGCTAAAGCCCTGAGTTCAATCCCTAGTATCAGCAAAACATAACAAAATAAAACAAAAAAAAAATTCACACAACAAAAATATCTGAATAATGTAAGAGCGAATACATTTAATTTAATTTCAAAAAGTTGCCAAAAAATAGTTAAAAGAACACCTGCCAACACAGGTAAAATCTTTACCACCCCTTATCTATCCAGTAGATACTATTGCTACCCCCATTCTCTTAACAGCAGACATGAAGTAACAAGTACAGTATTTCAGATGTTAGATTTAATCCTAGGTATATGGCTCCAAAGTCTGCACCTCTAGTCAGTCTAATGAAGTATCACCTTTTACTTTAGTTTTGCCCCTAAATCTGGATCCTTTCACCTATAGGACATTTGGGTTAAGATAACATTTTTTTTGCGTGTGTGTTGGTTACAGGGTCTCTGCTGTACAGTTCAGATCTATAGTGATCTTCCTGTCTCAGCCTCCCCAGCACTGGGATTAAAGGGATGTGCTACCACACCTGGTTCTGGGGCTGGCACAGTATGCAGTACCAGGGATCAAACTCAGGATCTTACTTTTGCTAGGCAGGTGCTCAGATTATCAAGTTATCTTCCCAGTCCCAAGATAACTTATGCTTTAATATTTATGCTCTTACCAGAAAAATCCCCTAAATCATTAAGAAAATGAAAGATACCAACAAAAAACTTATTTGTGATTTGAAATTGAGTATCATATTTGTATGTCACCTCACAATTGAGAAATTAGCTTATTAGCAGAAATGTACTTACTGCAAAGCTTTGAAACTTTATTTACGCAGGATCAGAGAATTAACATTCAAAAAGGGATGAAATGTTTCCATGGCTACATGCCTATTGGCACTTTTTTTTTTTTTAAGTAACAGGAATTGAACTCAGGAACTTGTGCCTTAGTTTTGACATGGAGAGCTGAAGCAAAATGGGAAACATACTTAGGAGGGCTTTTGCAATACTCCAGTTAAAAATACTAAACTGTCTGCAATCAGTTAAGCCAACTGGGTTCCCTGCTGGTGGGTGTCCAGTGTGCAGTGGCTGCACACAGTAACCTCCTCAGTAGTATATGAAGCCTGTTGCTTGTATAGGCTGCCCTAAGGCACCTCTTGTCATCCCCAAACCAGGCTCCAGACTGGCATGTGGGGTGTCTTTGGGAAGCCCCAGGGCACAGTGGCAAGGGTTCATAATGGACAGGTCATCATGTCCATCCGCACCAAGCTGCAGAACAAGGAGCATGTGATCGAGGCCCTACGCAGGGCCAAGTTTAAGTTCCCTGGCCGCCAGAAGAGCCACATCTCCAAAAAGTGGGGCTTCACCAAGATTTGAAGACATGGTGGCTGAGAAGCGCCTCATCCCTGATGGCTGTGGGGTGAAATACATCCCAAATCGCGGTTCCCTGGACAAGTAGTGAGCCCTGCACTCCTGGAGGCTTCCACTGTGCCACCCCCCAACAAGTTCATGAATAAATGTCCTCTCTGCTCAAAAAAAAAAAAAAAAAAAACAACCCAAAAAAACCCCTCAACTGTGGCAGTGGAAATGGAAAGAAATGGCTCTCTCAGGACAATCACAAGGAAACACAACCACTGGATTTGGTGACTGGAAGTGTACTAAGAGAGGACAGGTTTAACTATCACTCTAGGATGGAGTCCCAGCAAGTAAACCCTGAGGAAAGCTCTGAGTTAAAAACAGAAATCTTAAAGGTTTCTATTCCAAGTCCTTCCCAAAGTTAAAAAGGAACAATTTTATCCCTAAAGAGAGCCATTCCTTTGGGTTAAAGTTATTTTTCCTACTCAACGTATTGACAGAGGTGATTAAGGCATGGCAAAAGCTGGGTGGGGAGGTGGGTATGACCTGTAAATTATAAGATCCAGGATACATGCACAGAACAGTTCCCAAGCCCTGCAAACGGACTTCTGAGAACTCAAGCAGGTTTTCACTAGGATGTCAGTCTGAGGTGTGGGATCCTAAAACCATCTTTCCAGACCACTACGCAGAAGTTCTCACAGGTCTCCTCGAGACTGGAACAATATAAAAGGGGTTTCCTAAGAACAGTGCTGTCATTATTTACCCTTAACATAGACAACCTATGACAAGAATTTTTAAAGGACTCCCTGTGAACTATGAATTGTAATTTTTCTAAGCATCTTTCAAGGAGTAGAAAAATTATGTTTATTTACTAATTCTGATCAGAAAAATAAGCAAGGAAAATTGATGGTATTCATTAGATTTTAACTGAACGGAGCAGTTACTGCTAATCAATTGTATAGTAAGGCAAAAACACTAATCTATTGTGTAATCATTTTAAATTGTTATGTAGGGCCATCAAGATAGCTCAGCAGGCTAAGTGGTGCTTAAGCAAGTGTAGGGGCCAGGGTTGAGCCCCGACACCACAAAGCGCACTGGCCCTGCCCTGGGGAGCACTGAGCCAGACATCTGAGACCACATGCTGGAGACCCAGCGCTGGAGAGGCTGAAAACAGAAGGATCATTAGGAGTCTGAGCTGCATAGTGAGAACCTGCACCAAATACATAAAAAATAATAATAAAAATAAAAATAGTCACGTATATCTAAATTGCCAAGAAATTTAAACTGTTTTGGATATTTGAAGCTTTTTCTGACAGGAAAAAAAAGGCAGGCAGCAATGCAGAGCTGGGGCTTTGGTAGCTTTCTAAAATGGTCCACCTTGTGTTTCCCAGACACAGGGTGCACTTTTATCTTTGCTCTTACCACCCCCCTTTTTCTATTTCTTCAGTCCAACTGCACTCCAGTGAGACAGTTACTCTCCCATCTTTACTTACTTTCTCAGTTAACTCTGTCACTGCTTTTTGCCCATTTGGTTCAATCCTTTGTTCAAGACAAAAAAAAAAAAAAACAAACACAAAAACATGGAACCCCACTCTGGAACAAGAGGCGGCAATCCTAAGCCTGGTCATATTTAGTTATATGTTTCTGATCAAAAATCAGGAGTATTTTATCATTCAGGTAGAATATCCATAGCTTTAAACCTTAACTGGCAGGCCAGGTGTGGTGGCACATGCCTATAATCCCAGCACTAGGGAGGCAGAGGCAGGAGGATCACCATGAGTTTGAGGGCAGCCTAGGCTACATAGCAAACTCAAGGCCAGCTTAAACTATAGTGACAACTAAACTTGTCTAACAAAAACAAAAACAGGGGCCGGGGAGATGGCTCAGTGGAATAAGCGCTTCCTGGCAAGCGCAAGGGCCTGAGCTCAAACCCCGGTTCCACCAATAAACCCCCAAAAAACAAAAAACAAAAAACACTTTACTGCCAAATGTACCATGTAAGAAATACTCAACTTTTTTGCAACCAAAGAAATACAGATAATTAAAACCAGATGTTTTATTCAGCATTAGCAGAAGACGTTACATATACATTATTTTCCTGCAGCATGAGATGAAGTTCCAGTGATGGCAGAAGGAAAACTTTAGGGCTAGTTTGACAGAAAATATAATTTATAAAGGAAGGACACAATATATAAACTACACATTGTGAAAACAGTAACAAAGAATGTCAATTTCTGACTGCCTATTACAGAAAAAGCCCAGGAGGAGCCACAGGAAGTAGTTAAAGTACGACACACCTATGAAAAGGGACACTAGAGACCTTACATGCATGGAGTGCCACTCAGTTCGATCCACATGTGCTCTTAGGTATTGTGCTAACTTCAAAAAACAGATTTTTAAGAAGCAAGATGTAAGACAGTGTACACAGTATGGGATGGGAATTCTTATTTTTAATTAAAAAAACACTATAAGAAATATTTGTTTAAAAAAAGTACCTGGTGGTATCTTCTTAATAGTGCCTTTTTTGCTTTTTGTACTTCTTTTTCCAAGTATTCTTTTGTCCTTTCCCAAGAAGTCCTGTTCCTCTTCAGGGTGTTCACACCAAGTGTTTTCTGAGCTCTCGCTTGCAGCCACCTCACAGTTGGACATGCAGCTTTCATTATTGTTGAGACTGTCTTGCTCCAACACTTCAGTTTTCCCCATTGCACTACCACTGCTGGTCAGAAGCTCAGGCCCATCTCCATCAAGCTGATTTTCATTTTCATCTGATGCAGAAGGCAAGTGTGTCACTCTCCTTTCTGCACTGTCACCTGGATGACACCCATCTTGTGATTCTATCTGCAGATTATAAGTTGGAGGATTGCTGTCATCCATTAGCGCATGCTTTTCTGAACCATTTAAAATTTCATTGAAGTCCTTCCATGTCTACAGTGACAAAAAGGAAAAGAAAAACTTCATTTTCTTATCTCATCTCTGGGGATTAAAAGTGATCTTTGAATTTCCTTTTCTGTTGCAATATTTCACTGAGAAAAAAAAGGAAATGGGTAAAAAGTTCATTCCTACTTGCCTTTCTCCTTTGCAGCCTTCCCCCAATTTCACCTAGTTCTTGCTTCAATACAAGGGCTCTCAAGTCCATCTGCTTAGAATTACCTGGGAAAACCACCCAAACCTATTCTGGACCCACTAACGTAGAATCTCTAGGGATTATACACGTACTGCCTGTGATGTGTGCCAGGTTTGGATAAAATGCATTACTGACTACATACGCTACCTGGTAAAACTGCTCGTATTATCCCTGACATTTATCAGAAAAGTGAAGGTCAGATGTAAAAATTCTTTGGCTAATCAGTAGGAATACTTGTAAATGAAAACATTCAAAGGTACAATATTTTAAAACTCTTTTTAAAAGCATGTGGGAGAAAATTAAGATGGTATATACTTATACTACATAGTACAACCTCTTTATCTTTTACTTACTAAAAATAAGCCCAGGAAAACAACCATAGAATCATAAGCAAAATCCTTTTAAACAATCATATTTAAAAAAGGGAGGGCTGGGAGATAGCTCAGTAGAATAAGCACTTGCCTGGCAAGCACAGGGTCTAATTCAATCCCCAGTACTGAAAAGAAAAAAAAAAAAAAAAAAAGGAGGGCCATGATTAACTCTAGGAACTCTAGGCTATTTAATACAGAGTTTGAAAACTCCTAATCTACTCAAAGGATATTTCTAGCCTTTTAAAAAACTACACAACTGCTTGCATTCTGTTGTATTAGAGAAGTTTAGGCACAATCAAGCCTTGAGTTAAACTGTTGAGAACAATACTTCTATTTAATTCTTGTGATTACCCTAGTAGATAGTTAATTTCTGTCCCATTATACTGATGAGGGAACTAAGACTCATCTTGTGCCACGCGATTCAGGCACTATGTTTAGAAATGCAGTTTGAAGCAGTTATGATCCTGAGGCTACCTTCTTGATCATTATGCTCTACAAATACTGGAGAAAGTAACTGGAAGACTCTCTCTTCATCCGGGGTATCCCTCAGCCGACCATCTACACCACAGCAGAGGGTTTTATGTCTGAAGACCAAGCTTCCCTTCCCCTGGAAGGTGCTGGATCCACACAGCACATCATTTCCTATGCAGCTCACCACTTGGTGTTGAGAACTTTTGTTGTCGGTGGTTAGAGGCTGAAGGGCCTAACCTATTCAAGAGAAGTAGTTGTTTTCAAGTACAATATGTATTCATTCCTTTGGGCCTAAGGATATTCTGGACAAAAAGTACTGTTTGAGATTAGTTTAACTCTCACACAGTACTTTTTGTCTTTGCTTTGTTTTTGTGGTGCTGGCATCAGTGTAGGGCTTCACACATGCCACACAAGCACTATACTACTGAACTACACCTCAGCTGTCTTTATATTTTTTGAGGCAGGGTCTTGCTAAGTCACCCAGGCTGGCCTTGAACTTGTGATTCTCCTGCCTCACTCAGCTTCCTGATTATATGTGTGTACCACAATACCTGGCTTCAAAAGAAAATTTCAAAAACTACTTAATAACACTGATTCTCATGTTCTTTCCATGATGTGAATGCAACTTTTAAATTTTTTTGCAAGATATCTATCAAGGCTGGACTCAAATTTTACTTACTTGGTTTGCCTTTCCTGACTTCTCCATTCTAAAGGATTAGTACATAATGCAATCCTCTATGGCACTCTATCAGCAATACAGTTCTTCCCACATATTGCTCTGAGCTACCTATTTTTGTATAAGTGGCATTAGATTTAAGTGTTTTTATTATTTATAACCCAGCCTTATGTTTTATTCTTTACATTGCCTAGCCCTGGCTCTTGCAAAGGCGTGGGAATCCAACTTTCTACTGTTTTCTTCTCAAAAGGACAGAGACAGAGACTTGGATCTCCACTGGCACCCTGGCTCCTACTCTGAGAGGGAAAGGGACTTACTACACATGTGGTATTTGGCTTCTGTCTGCATTCCTGACGTTTTAATTGAATACCTTAACTTAAACAATGGGATTAACTTCTTAATGGGATTTCTAATTAGCAGAGTCTTTCTGCTTTTGGAAAGTTATAAATAAAGTGTTGTTTTTGCCTCTTCTTTCTCCCCATTGCACTTCCCCCACCCATTGCTGCACCAACGACATTTTAATAATTTGATCTTCCAGTACAGCTGTATCTCACTGCATAAAAGTACTTGAGCAACAGAAAAATCACAAGAACAAAAGGGCCCAGTTAACTTATGGCAGCTCAAATTGTGCATGGAACCTGGGTGTTATTAATATAGTTGGGACTATTTTCAAACATTTGTCCTGCTTCAGCAGTACGTTTCTTCTGTAAGAATCCCTATTTCTAGAACAATTTTCACAAAAGAAACTGTGGCACAATGCAATCACTGCTCCAACACTGACAGTAACGTATTTTACCTTTTAAAAGTATGATAGCCAGCGCCGCCCACATTTGCAGACTCTTGGAGTCAAATAGCATTCCAAATATGCACTCTGTGTAAACGTCACCAGACATATTGACTCTTTACAGATGAAGAACTTCAAGCAAACATATTCTATCAAGGCTTATAGAAAATATGAAAACCCAGGAAACTTTGAGGGAAACAGTAAATGAACAATTTAAGAAAAAGAAATCTATCAAAATCTTTCCATAGCACGACCTCAACCTTAAGTTGAAGAATTTGACTTCATTTATTATTATTTTTTTCTTTTGGTTTGTTTTTCCAGGGTCTCACTATGCAGCAACCCTCCTGTATCAGCCTCCTGAGTGTAAGGATTACAGGCATGTGCCATCAGGCCTAACATTTTCCATATTTTTAATGAATGTTATAAACATTAGGTGACTAAGGGTTTTTAATTATAGGAATAGTTAGTATTTCCATCACTGTTACTTTATTGAAATGTTTTAAGAAGACTATAGGTGCTATTTTTCTATACTTTATACAAATCAGACCAAATATTATACTTTTACTTTGAAAAAAAATAAAAATTCTTCCTAAGAATCAACACTGATATATAGATCTGAATTTTATGATTCATAGTCCAACCTAAATTGAGAGGAATGCAGTGGTCAAACTAAACTTTTGCCAAATTTGGCCCAATTTCAAATTTATCTACTAGTAAATTCAGAGTTGAGAAAGTTACCATGTGTACATGTCACTCTCTTACAATCACATGTACTTTACATTTATGCAATCACCTTACTCTCTAAATTACTTTCCAATACCACCTATATCTTATGGATAAATCTATAGTTCCTTCATTAATGCTATCATCTTTTAGACATACAGACCTAGAGGTGAGATTCTGTGTACCAGAAATCAAAAGTATGCCCAAAAGAATAATTCTGGGGCTGGCCAGATAGCTCAGCAGACTAAAGTGACCAGGGTTTGATCCCGGTGTGCCATGCTGGCCCCTCCCCTGGGGCATGCTGAGACAGCAACTGAGACTGGGTGTGGTGGCCTGCGCCTTTAATCCCATGCTTGGGAGCCTGAAAACATGAGGATCACTACGAGTCTGATCTGTGTAGTGAGACCCTGTAGACCCTGTACTAAATACATTTTTTTAAAAAAAGAACAGTTCTCAAAGATTCTGTAACCAAAGAAATTCACTTTTCATCAACATCTTTTGCACACAAAACATATACATATATGTAACTAAAACAAATATTTCCCAAAACTTAACACATGTATAGTGATCTGATGTGTCTGCCCTCTTTTCCACTTAAAATTATTTTATAATTTAAAAAAATGCAGATAAAGGTCTCCTGGATTGATTTTATATTCCAGTAATGGTACTCATCACAGCAACTGAGGACCAGAGCCAGTTCCACCTAAACTACTTTCTGAAAATAATGCACAATACATGAAGTGCAGATGTAAACTTAAAAGTGTCATTCTCATAATTTTAACATAACATTTAGAATTCTTCTTAGCTTGAAAATGTGGCTAAAATACTTCCCTTGATTCAAAGTTCCACAGCTGACAACTCTGACTGTCAAACTGAGGCAGGAAGTCACTTAACCCCACAAATTCCAAGAACCACACAAGCAATGTAGACAGCACTCTGTCTGAAAATGTTACATTGTTTCAAAGGCCTGGCATAGTGGTCCACACCTATACTCTCACAATTTAGGAGGCTGAGGCAAGACGATCATCCTGAGTTTGAAGCCATCTTGGGCTACACAGTGAGTTCAAGGCCAGCATGACTTACATAAACTTTAAAGTCAACCCCCAAAAAAAAGTTTTTAAAAAATATTACTAATATATTTGATATAATGAGTTGAACAACTATTACTTTTTTCTTTTTTTTAAAAATTTTATTTATTTGTGTGTGTGTGTGTGTGTGTGTGGCCAGCTCAGCCCACCAGGGGGCGGGGCTGGCTGGCATGTGGTGCTGGGGGATTGAACCGCGGTCCCTGTGCTTTAGCTAAGCTTGTTCTAAGTAGGTGCTTTAGACCACTGAGCCATCTCACCAGCCCCTACCTTTTTCTTATAAGATCAAAGGCATAGTTCAGTGATATAATACTTACTCTATGTGAGGTCTTGGGTTCAAACTCTAGTACTAAAATCAATCAATCAATCAATCAATCAATCAATCAATGTTAAATTTTACCTTTCAAAAAGCTTTTTAAAATAGGGCACACAGCTATAATCCCAGCATAGCATGAACATTAAAGAGTTTGAAGCTGGCCTGGGCTACATGGTGAAACCTTGTTTCAAAAATCCTCCTCAACCCCAAAATGTAATGTATGGCCTGTATCATATTTCTAGTGGAACATGCTGCCTTGACAGGGTCATAGTAGCCAAAGTCACTCTATACCTAATTCATTCTTGCAAGTATATTATCCTATAGGCTTTTCCTGGCAACAGACATAATTCAACAATGTAAATGTGTACTGAAGGA